AACTACTTGAGCATGGTTACCATGAGAGTTGGGAACAAATCAGAAAAGACCACCATCACCATCCCTCTTTACCATTATTCTGGAATATTCATTGTCAGCCAGTATGCGGCCAAGAGCAAACCTTCCAGAAGGTACCTGAAACACAGAAATCACAGACTGCAGTCACCCAAACGAAAAATGGCTGTGCAAACTCAATATTCACTACAGACAGTGAACAGAAGGTGTAATGAGGAAATCCCATTCGGTACAGCAAAAAATACCTACAACTGGTTAATCTTGATGCAAGTGTGTGCACAATGGGGTGAAGAAATGCATAAAGATCTGTACGTGGTTAAAAATGGTTTCAAGAAGCAGAAGGTTTTGCCTCCTCACTCAGCCAGACTCAAACACGTAGAAAGTGTGCCCTGATATTCCTGTGTCAATTTAAGGCAATAGAATAATATTTAAATTTTGAAATGATTGGAAAGATTACCTGAAAGTAAAATAGCAAAATCTGGAAAGATGCAGAGCACTATGCTATCATATGAGAAAATATTGACCCAGGACTCAGTCCATGATGGGAGACGAGAGCCGGCCCTTGAAAACCGACAGAGGACGTGATCACCAGCCCCTCTCCCAGGGAACCTGTGCAAACGGTATTGGCCAGGACATTGGATGGGGCCACTTGTCTTGCCTTTGGGGATAAAGGGTGAATCTGCCAGGTTGGCCATAGGTGATATATAAGAAGGGAGACCTACGTTAAAATAGAAATCCTTAAGGGCATGTATTAGTCAGCTAGGGCTGTCGGAACAAGGTACCACAGAGTGGGTAGCTTAACAACAGAAATTTATTATCCCACAGTTCTGGAGGCCAAAAGTCCAAAATCAAAGTGTCGGCAGTGTCGGTTCCTTTCAGGGCTGTGAGGGAAGTATCTGTTCCAGGCCTCTCTCCTTGTAGACGGCTGTCCTCTCCCTGTGTCTCTTCACATCGTCTTCCCTCTGTGTGCATCTTGGTGTCCATGTTTTCCCTTGTTACAGGACACCGGTCCTATTAGATCAGGACCCACCCTAATAAGCTCATTTCACTTTAATACTCTGTCTGCAAATACAGTCACATTCTGAGGTACTGGGGGTTATGTCTCCAACATATGAATTTGGGGGGGGACATAATTCAACCCATAACAGGGGAGGAGCAAAATTTATAAGCAAAATGAATTTGTTTTCTGAATCAACATGCTATGTTGTTGTTTCCTGCTGGAAAATGAAATGAAAGTTGGTGAGTACCACAGCTCTTCCCTTGATAGCAGAGGGGGCTCTGAAGAGAGCCGTTGGTTCCGCCGCTCGCTCGGCTGCTCCCAGCGCCTCACTTGGACCTGGTGTACTTGGTGACAGCCCTGGTGCCCTCAGACACGGCGTGCTCGGCCAGCTTGCCGTGCAGCAGCAGGCGCACGCCATCAGTGCCTCCCGGGATGTGATGGTTGATCCTCTGTTGCAATTAATGCACCAAGTGGGAGGGCGCTCGAAAGGAGACGCCCTTCATAAAAGAATTCATCCCTCTTAAATAAAAGGTTTAATAGCATATCTTTTTTCAAAAACTTGACTGTCTATAATCTACAGGATCCAACCCAATTTCCCTGACTTGTCAAAAAGACCCCTTCGCCACTGGGCCCTCAAATCTCCCTCCAGTTCACCCCCGCCCCCACCCCCAGTAAGAAAGCTGTGTTCATTTCATCTAGATGTTCTCAAACACCACAGCCCCTGTGTTTAGGAGGCCTTTTGCTACATTTTTCATTTTTCTCTGAAAAGGTTTGTATTAGAGTTTTCCAGAGAAACAGACACAATAGAATACAGAGAGAGGAAGAGATTTATTATAAAGAATTGGCTCGTGTGATTACTGAGGCTAAGAACTCCCAGGATCTGCCATCTGCAAGCTAGAGGCCCAGGAGAGCTGGTGATGCAATTCACTCTGAGTCCCAAGGCCTGAGAACCAGGAGGGCCAAGGATGTCCCAGCTCAAACAGTCGGGCCAAAGGGGCGAATTCCTCCTTCCTCCTTCCTCCGCCTTTTTGTTCTGTTCAGGCCCTTGACAGATTGGATGACGCCTGCCTCCATTGGCGAGGGTGATCTGCTTTATGCGGTCCAACCGTTCAAATGCTAATATTATCCAGAAACACCTCACAGACACGCCCAGAATCACGTTTATTATTAATCTGGGTGCCCTGTAGTGCATCAAGCTGATGAGCAAAATTCATCATCACTAGGTGCGTTCTGCTTTTCCTTATTTTCCTAGGTGTCTCTGTGCTCTCTGAGTTTTCCTGGGATCGGAGTCCTAGGATGAGCAGAGTTAGGAGCTGTGACCCCCCGATTGGCCCCTGCTTCATGGCATGTCCTGTCCGTCTGAGCCTCGTGCAGATATCAGGCCTCAATCACCTTCCTTAAAGTGGAAGTTGACAAAAGGGAGAAAGCGTTCTCTGTTCCAGGGACATCGCCTGGAATGGGACCCATGAACTTCAACCATTAGGGAAAGCTGTGTCCTTATGCTCTTTAATGTCTGACCACGGGTAGCATTTCCCTCCCTTGTAGAGCAAGGCAAAGCTGCACGGTGGTTGGTGTTGGTGATATCTGTGACTTTGTCCCCAAGATAAATTGCAGGTATTTCTGTGTCTCATTACAGAGACTTCAGGTTTCAGCTTGACATGTAAAGAGCTTGAAAGTCGTCCTTCTAGTCCTTGCAAGAAAATCTGAACACATTGAAAATTAATGACTTTTTTAGACCCATCGGAGAACTGAGGTTGCAGAGGCTCCCCCAAAACAGGAGAGACAGGTACATGCAGATAGTCACAGGTGAGATCTGCTTACTGGGAGCAGAAGCAGTCAGAGCCATTAATAGGTAGAAGCACTTTGATGGTCATTCTGTTACCGGATAAACACCCAGGTTCTTTATCCGCCCCACAAGAGGGGCCAAATAAAACCAGAACGCCAGGCTTACGGCAAGGAAAGAGTTTTTATTTCAAGTGACATCAGCCAGGAGACGAGAGCTCTCAAATTTGTCCCGTCTCCCCGAAAGATGGGAGGCCAGGGGTTTTAAAGGTTGTGAGGGAGAGCATGTGCTGGGGTTTTAGGTGGGGTAGGGGGAGCATGTGGACTTGCTGGCTGGCACCTTCCCACCAGCTTGCATTTGCCCCTGAAGACTGATTTTTTTCCCTTGACTGTCTGGACTTTGGTTAGTTTTCATCTTCAGCCTGCGTTTGGCCTTGTGAGGCTGAATCTTGATGTCTGGACCTTTACCTCCTGGGAAAGACAGCTCACTCCTATCCGAAGGAGGGACAGAAAGACCTGGTTAGTTTTAAACAACAGTTGATTATGCTGAATATGCACAGCCGCAGTTAGCAAAGCTTATCTCAAAGTTTTTGCTGTCTTCTAGCCCAGGGAAGGTTTTTTAACCTCTTCTTGCTCGGTTTCAATTTTGATAAATGCTGGAGGCCGAATGCAGACCTGCTTGAGAGGAAGAAACTGCTGGGGGCCTCAGGCTTAGGGAGCCCCACACTACGATTCCAATTCCAATTCCGAGGTGTGAGTTTTTCCCCACCACCAAGTGATTAACTGAATTCTGACACCGTCTGCCTGGAGATTGCGTCAGACCCCACAGGTTAAGGGTTCAGTCCTACAAGACTGCCTCCACTTCAGAAGCTTCTTAGGAAGCCTATCTTAGGTCTCTGTAACAAAAGGCAGATTAACAAGAGAAAAGCATGTAAGTCTTACGTGACACGCGACACAGGAGTCCTCATAAGGAAATGAAGACTCACAGAAGTGGCGAGACCTAAATGCTTTTATACCAGGTTGAACAAAGAGGGGCAATTGTGGAAAACTAACCAAAAAAATCGGGAGGCTACAGGAAGATACAAATTAGTTTAACGAGGTCTTCTGTGCAGAATCCTCTTTGGTCTTAACTTCCCCTCCTTGAGGATAAGAATGTTTCCTTTCTTTGGGTACAAGTTGGACACCCTTCACAGGGAAATTTTAACTCCTGTTCTCAGGAAGAAAAAGGAGAGATGAAAAAGGTCTTCTTGCATCTGCTGTTTTTCAAGTGCCTTTAGCTCAAAATAATCCTTGCACTGAAGTACCGTGTTCTGCCACCCTTCATCTGCGGGGTTAGATCTGCAGGTCTAAGGGTGAGGCAATGAGGGATTCTCTTTCATACGGAGCCATGAACAAGGCTAGCAGGAACTGGATGGGGAAGTGGGATGTCAGGGCGACTGATGGGACAGTCGGTGAGGGAAAGCGTGACCCTGAGGTCGACCAGTTCTCAGGAGGGGCCTGATCAGGGCCCCGGGGGGAGGGAGAGAAGCTGAACCAAAGCTGGGCAAACGAGCATCTTGTTCCAAGTGATCAGTGGGGACTAGAGTTCAGCTAACCATCGAGGAGGCAAAGATGAGGATTCGGAGGGTTTGTGCCCGGCCTTGTAGTGGGTCAACAAGGGGGCATCCCCGACTCATCTGAGCCATATAGAGAAAGGGTTTTTTGCAAGACTCAAGGGGTGGGGGATTCCTTTAAGCATCGCTTGGTGAAAACTCAACACTGTCACCACACAAAGATCGAATGCAGAGTGTGAGCTTCTAGAAAGTTCTTTCCCCCTGGCTCGTGGGGGAGGAGAAAGGGAGTGCTGAGCGAAAACGAGGGAGCCGCGCAGGGAGAGATGAGGCCCTCTATGATGGGACCGGGACCAGAACCCCGATCGGGGCTCACGGGGTCTGCAGGCGGGAAAGAGGGTCTACGAGGCATCTGCGAGGCCTAGGAATATCCGCCACTCAGCGTGGTCACGCCTGAGCGACGCGAAGATAAGGGCAGGTTGGCGAGCGGAGTGCCTCATGAGCCAATCAGAGCGCAGCCTGCCATCACGCCACCCGGCAGCCAGCCAATGGGAAGGCAGCAGTCTCCATAAAAGCGGGAACAGCCACGGACTTTTGCAGTCCGCGACTGGCGGCTGAGACAGCGGCAGAGGCGTTCCTTGCGTCGTTGACTTATGGCTCGCACCAAGCAGACAGCACGGAAGTCCACCGGCGGCAAGGCGCCGCGCAAACAACTCGCCACCAAGGTGGCCCGCAAGAGCGCGCCGGCCACGGGCGGTGTGAAGAAGCCGCACCGCTACCGACCGGGCACCGTGGCGCTGCGTGAGATTCGTCGTTACCAGAAGTCTACGGAGCTGCTGATCCGCAAGCTGCCGTTCCAGCGTTTGGTGCGGGAGATCGCGCAGGATTTCAAGACAGACTTGCGCTTTCAGAGTTCCGCCGTCATGGCGTTGCAGGAGGCGTGTGAGGCGTACTTGGTGGGGCTGTTTGAGGACACCAATCTGTGCGCCATTCATGCGAAGCGTGTCACTATCATGCCCAAGGACATCCAGTTAGCGCGCCGCATCCGGGGGGACCGCACTTGAGCGTCGCGGGAGTCGCCGCTCTCACCACAAAGGCTCTTTTCAGAGCCACCACTTGCTCACCAGGAGTGCTGTGCCAACCGTGGGGGTTCTCTCAAATAGTTTAATTTTCAGCTAACCCGGAACGTGGCTGGTAGTGTGGGAAGCTCTCACTTTGAGAGCTAGTTATGCGAAGTCCCAACTCTAACGCTGAAGAGAGCTTTGCGTAGGTCTAAAGTTAACTTCGGAAGCATATGGCTGGCCCGTGTGTGTGCATTCGTAAGCAGACTTGGCGAGTCCGTAGAGTTAATGAGAAATTCTCCAACCAGGGTCGTTAACTAGATGCAGTAGTGGAGCTGTGTTGAAGTGACGTGAGCATGGCTGTGACTTGAGCATGGATGTGAAGGTAAAGGTGCAAGGATAGCTTGGTGAGTTGTTGATCTACTAGAACCAATAAATTGTAAACCAAGCGCTGCCCAGTGTTAGCCATACGGTGTGAATATAAAATCTGTTTATTTCTGTTCTTATGTGATCTTTCAAGGTGCTTATAGCTGAATGAAGGAGGCTTCTATGTAGAAGCAGTTAATGTGAAACGTGCTTTAGTGACAGCTCAATGGGATCAGTATGCAGCAGTTATCCAGTAGATTCAAAAGCATAAGTCCAACTAGTACACAGAACTGTGACCTAAAGGTTGAAAACAATTTCTTAAATTTTAGGATGTGGAAGCCGGCCTGGTGGTTCAAGCCGGTAAGTGTCTGTGTTGTGCTTCGGCAGCCCAGGGTTCGTGGGTTCCGACCCTGGGCGCGCACTGATGCACTGCTTGTCAAGCTATGCTGTGGTGGTGTCCCATAGAAAGTAGAGGAAGATGGGCACAGATGTTAGCCCAGGGCCAGTCTTCCTCAGCAAAAAAAAAAAAAGGGTTGGCAACAGATGTTAGCTCAGGGCTAGTCTTCCTCACAAAAATTAATGAATTTTAGGATGTATATAATGAATGACTTCCTTGAAGGGCCATCCAGAAACGGAGTGTTCAGGGACAGCCGTGTTCTGATTCAAAAGTCAGCTTTAACTTTCAATACAACACTCCTTTGTAAAAAGATTCAAGCGTGGGTATTGTGCCTGTTCTGTGCTTCATGACGTCCTTATCTTGGCGAAGCTTGGCCCAACGTTGGAGCTAAACCTACATGACCTTCCTCGTGTCTTGCTGTATGGCGTTGGGGAAGAAGGAAATGGGGCAATAGGCTACATTTGGTAGGGAACTGGATGCAGATGATGTATTCTTGGCGGGATATGCTGGACCATCAAGATAAAACTTTACCTTTCAGTAGGAGACTAAGCCACTGGAGGGGTGGACCCGTGTCATTCTGTTCTTTGTGTCCAGAACAGGGTCTGGCATCACATGTTTGCCCCGACCTTGGTAAGTTCCGCTGTTTAATGGGTGGGCCGGTGCAGGAATGGATGAGGGGGAGATAGATATGGAAAACTGGGCGACCTGGGGTGATGGGTGTCTGAGAACTGGATTGTTGAGGACCTGAGGTGAGCAGCGAAGGGTAGGAGGAAAGAGAAGCCAAGAAGTGCAGATAAAGGAAGGAAGTCCCTCGGTCAGGAAATGGATAGTCACCGAAGCCTTTCCAACACAAGTGTTTAAACACACTCGCTTTGTCCATGCTGGTCCGCACAGGAACTCTCTACTCAGAACCGCTCAGATCCAAAGCTGGCAGGGCAGGGCGTTGTTGGGGAGACCACGTTCTTGCTCTGCATAGAACATTCCAGCCCCTGCCCAACGTGGTCAAAGCAGGACAAGGAGAGAGCACCACGACGGAAAATGCTGGGAGCTCTGTCGCTTGTGGTGCAGCTGGGTTGGCTCAGTAACTATCAAACAGAGCACATGAATAGCATCGTCAGAAGGACAGCGCAACTGCATGAGTGTTTCTCCAGTGAAGAGCTTTCAGGTGTCTGTAACAAGAACCAGTTTAGTACCACCTGGAAGACTTGAATGGCTTTATAAAAGTATGACTATTACAATTAAGATGTAAGCTTGTCTGTTTCTGCCTGTCCTAATCATGTGGGAAATTAAACTGAAGTGCCCACATTTGCTCACCTTGTGCCCAAGTCTTGGAGCCGCACCTGCACTGTGGAGCTGGCCTGAGGGTGGGGTGTCTATGGGAGGGACGAACTGTCCCATTAGAAAATCGGGGGGCCTGGGCATGGTCACTGGGGACACTCACACAGACCAAGCAACACATTTGATAGGAAAAGGCACTTATGGGGTAGAACTGGAAAGGAAAGGGGGTGTGATAACATAGTGGTTAATGGTGGGGGAGGGGCAGGCAGGGGTGGGTCCTGGGGATGTTAATTTTCTTATTCTTGATACCTTATACATGCTATATTCCGGTGCATGCCTTTACTATTTATAAAAGACATAAGTCATGTCTGTCTTTCTCATTATGCTCCTCGTGGGTTGTGAATATACAGCCTAATTTTTGCAGGGGGCAGGAGGGATCCTCAGTGCCTGGAACACTGTCAGCATACCAAAGAAAGAAGTGCCTCATGGAAAGAAAGGACGGGGCACGGAGAATGTAGCAATCTGTGAGGGAATAAGATTCCTGGTTTGGGAGCCCCGCTGACGGGCCAGCATGGAGGAGCTGGCGTAGCAGGTGCACTAGTGCGTTCGTGGAGGTCGCTGTGGGGCTGGCGCTCCTCGAGGGTGCAGGATGTAAGGAGCTGGGGCTGCACCTGGACTGGGGCCCAGCGGGGAGCAGGCATGGCCTCTGCTTCTAGAACTCGACTGGAGAGCCAGGAGGAATCGCGGGACACCCCTAGTCCTCACTCTCTGACCCTTCTTAAGGGACAACTGTTTCTTGATCTTCTGCCAGCCCCACCATCCACGATCCCCAGCCATCCCACTCAGCCCGCCTTGCGGCCTTGCGGGAGATGCTGTCTCCTTACCGGAGTCTGTGGCCCAGGTGTGCACTGTTGGGGGAAGAGGGAGAATCTCCCTCTCTCCTTTTCCTTAAGGTTTTTATGGCTGGCAAAATAATTAACAAGACAGGTTAGCAGAAGAAAATAATACCAAATTTAATAACATGTATACATGGGAGAAAGCAGGGACACTGCGTTTCTCAACACAATAGCAGAAATTCTCGTCTTAAATACCATGTTCAGCCAATGACGAAGGAGGATTTTGGGGGTGGGGGGAGTCAGTTATAAGAGATTACCACTAAAGCACAGTAAACAAGAGTAAGGTTATTATGTAGATTTAAGGCCTCACCTTTCACATTGATAAGCCTCTAGAAATGAGGCCATCTCCCCCTCTTCCCAAAATAGAGAGGGAGATACCTTTACAAATGGAGATTTCCCTCATAAATGTAAATGATTGTCTGGCAACTCCTCTCAGGGCCACCCAGAGAATGTGGCCAGAGAGACAGAACTTCCGGTAAGATGGGCTTGTTGGTGCCTTTTCTATTGTAACCTCTATCCTACATTATCTTTACAGCCATCATGATAGATCTGTTCCAGGAAGGAGCCACCATGTCAAATTCTTTAGGCAGTTAGTGGGGGAGGTCAAATGTCCCTAGAGAAAACAACCAAGGTAAAGAGATATATTTTAGGATGGTCAAATCTTGATCTCCCACAGCACCCCTGTCCTGAGCTGAGCCATGAGCCCTCAGGCATAACAATGTCAGTACCCAGCCCAGAGAACTGTGAGAAAATCACGAGACAATCCAAATGAGGGTGAGCTCAGTGTGTCCACTGTCAGTCGTGGGTTGATTGTGTCCCCCCAGATTCATACGGAGCCCCAACCCCCAGGACCTCAGAATGGGGCTGAACTTGGAAATGGGGCCTTTAAAGAAGTGATGAAGGTAAAATGAGGTCATTAGGGTGAGCCCTGATTCCATAGGACTGGTTCCTTATAAGAGGAGATTAGAACACAGACACGCACAGAGGGACAACCAAGTGAGGACACGGAGAAGACGGCTTTGAATCGTGATTTATATTAAGAAATACAAATTCAGTCTTGTCCCCTTCCTGGCACAGAGCTCCTAAAGCCCTTGGAATTTCCTGTGATGAGAGCAATAAAGGTGTCTTGATGTTCACAATAAACCACTGTCAACCACACCCGATTTATGTTAATGAGGTGACTCTGGAAAGCCCCTAAGGATGGGGCTGGTCACCAGGGGAACTGACCCTGTGATTAGAGGGCTGGAACGTTCTGTTCCACCCCCTGACCTCCGGGGAGGGGAGAGGGGCTGGAGGGTCAATCAATCACCAGTGGCCAGTGATTTCATCCGTCACCCCTGTGTAATGAGGCCTCCAGAAAACCCAACAGGACGGGGTTCCGAGAGCTTCTGGGCTGGTGGACGCGTGGAGGTGCTGGGAGGGGTGGCTCCCCTGGAGAGGGCGTGGAAGCTCCTGCCCTTTCCCCAGACCTGCCCTCTGCGTCTCTTCATCTGGCTGTTCCTGAGTTATATGCTTTCATGGTAAACCAGGGATCCAGTAAGTGAAATGTTTCCTGAGTTCTGTGAGCTGCTCCAACGAATTAATCCACCTGAGGAGGGGCCCTGGGAACCTCCTGATCTAGAGCCGGTCGGTCAGAAGCACAGGGGACACCTGGACTTGTGATTGGTGTCTGAAGTGGGGTGGTCTTGTGGGACTGCACCTTGTACCTGTGGGATCTGATGCCACCTCCAGGCAGACAGTGTCAGAATGGAGTTGAACTGTGGGACCCCAGGCAGGAGGCGAAGAATTGCTTGGTGTGGGAAAAAAACCCACACGTTGCTGATCAGAAGTGCCAGAGGTGAAATAGAGAATTGAGTGCAAAGGAAATCACAGAAGTGTGTTTTTCCATAGCAGCAGCCGTCTACACGCCCAGGAGAGAGGCCTCAGAAGGAACCAGCCCTGCGGAAGCAAATGTCTGTTGTTTGAGCCCCTGGTCTGTGGTGTTTGTTACACAGCCCAAGCTGGCTAACACACCATCATTATAATTAAAATTAGCTTTAATATTAGTTTTTTCTCTCTCTCCCACA